AGGACCTTGTACTTGGCCTTGTTGAACCTCATGAGATTCACATGGGCCCACTTCTCGAGCTTGTCCAGGTCCCTCTGGATGGCATCCCGTCCTTCTGGCATGTCGACCACACCACTCAGCTTGGTGTCACCTGCAAACTTGCTGAGGGTGCACTCGATCCCATTGTCTATGTCATTGATGAAGATATTAAACAATACTGGTCCCAATATGGGCCCCTGTGGAACATGACTTGTCACTGATTTCCATCTGGACATTGAGCCGTTGACCACTACCCTCTGGATGCAACTGTCCAACCAATTCCTCAACCACTGGACAGTCCACCCATCAAATCCTTATCTCTCCAATTTAGAGAGAAGGATGTTGTGGGGGACCATGTCACAATGCTTTATGAAGAACAGCAGTGAAAGTAATCCAGTGTTTTATCTTGGAGAATGAGTGACAAGTTAAATAAAACAAGTCACAAGAAGCCAAGAATCTGAATGAGCCTTTCCAGTTACAGGAATTCAATTAAAATAAAAGTGAGGCAACATCCCAGAAGATATGACAGTCAGAGGCTGACTATTTCACACTGATATTTTTAACTGCACCAAATTCCTCAGCTATGGAATTGTTCCCTCAGTGTAGAGGCTGGAAGCTGGAGTGGTCATGTCAGAACTAAGGCTGGAAAATGAAAACAATCCTACACTGGCCAGTTTAAGGTATGACTAACACAGATGACTCGGCAACTTACTCCGCATATCCCACTGGAAAGCTTCAGTGTTCATGTGAACTCCAAGGGATCTTTACTAAGAACGTAAGAATGGCCTACTGGGTCTTCAAGTGTCCATTTATCCCAGTTCTATGGATCCCTAGGGAAAAATAAGGACAGGGAAACCTACTTCCCAAATAGCATCCCAGCCTCCAATTGTTTTCCATGCTGGGGATTTCCTAAGCCAGACAGAGTTTGCCTATTTAGAGATACCACAATGGTGTTCTCTTCTAGCTATTTGACAGTCTCCCCCCCCAAGCTCATGCAAGCTTTTAACATCTCCAACATCCCATGGCAAAGAGCTCCAACAATCTGCTGTAGGCATAACAACAAGTCAGCAACCTAAACACGAGTCAGCAGTGCACCACTGCAGCAAAGGCAGAATGGATCCTGGGCTGCATCCACAGAGGCATTAGTAACAGAGATGTGAACATCCCACTCTACTCAGCACTTATCAGGCTGCACCTGGACTACTGTATCCAGTTCTGATCCCCACAATTAAAAAAAGCAGGCAGATGGCCCTTCTTTGGATTGTGTTCGGTCTATTATGATCAAAGGGCTGGAGAAACTGACCTATGAGGAAAGACTGAGGGAGTTAGGTCTTTTCTCCCTGGAGAAAAGGCGGCTTAGGGGGGAACCTCACAGTATTCCAGTACTTAAAGGGCAGCTACAAAGAGGACAGAGGCTCTCTTTTCACAAGGAGCCACACTGAGAAGACAAGGGGCAACAGGTACAAGTTGCACCGGCAGAGGTTTCATCTTGATATAGGAAAGATTTACAGTGAGACCAATCATTTACTTTCAAGATGTGACTTCAAGATACGATTGGACAGGGTACTAGATAATCTCATCTAGGCTCCCTTCCCACAAATTTTTTTGAGGTCCCTTCCAACCTGGGCTGTTCTATGGTTCCATGAACCTCTCTTCGGTTTTCAGCATGTCACCCACTTCCTTCATTTGAAGGCTCCTCATAGTGTATTCTTTTATCAGAAGAAAAAGCAAAAACAATTTCATCCATCCTTTCCATGCCACTCATTCTGAAGACCTCTATAATCTATTTTCATTTGTCTCTTCTCCCAGCCTCAGAGTCTTCACACATTTTTTTCCCCCTTCAATAATTTTGATGAGTTTCATCTCCTTATTCTGGAAGCTCTCCAGTCTCTTTAGCACCTCCTTTCTCCAAGAGTTCTAGCAAGAGTAACTCTGAAAATCCTATTTTGTTACCTTCTCCTTTAGGAGCTCTGAGGAAACCTAAAATTTAAATCCTGACTGACAGCAATACCCTCCACTAGCACAGAATACTACAAGATAACTATAATGCTACCGTATAACCTAACGGCCTGTAAGAGACAGGACACAACTTCAGTTTTTACTGAACAGTAGGTTTTCCTCTGTACCTACAAGTAGCACCAGTGCATAAAACCAAGCCTGTGTGACATGTAGGACTGAGCTAGATGTGCACAAGCTACTAGTCCAGTGCTGAACTGCAAACTACTGTCTGCAGTCCACAAGAAAAATTATGAAGCACACCTGCCCCTGCAGATGGTAGACCTACCTGTCCCAAATTAAGTGGGATTTAGATTCATTAGTTGTCCAGGAAAGTGTAAGAGTTCAGCTGGGAAGACACATACCCTGCAACTCACTTCAATATTGAGCAATTGTGAGAAAGTAACAGCATACAAAGAATTCTTTGCCCTTTCTTGACCTATTCCTGGCTCTGAACAATATATAAGCACATTAAACAAATTCTACAGTTGTTTCCTTACACAGGGTGCGGCTCAGCCTTTTCCTAATAATTAAAATGATTCTCACTATCCCTACCATTTGCGAATTATAGAAGAATGGTTTGGGTTGGAAGGGACCTTAAAGATCATCTAGTTCCAATCCCCCCCCGCATGGGCAGGGACACCTTCCACTAGACCAGGTTGCTCAAAGCCCCATCCAACCTGGCCTTGAACACTTCCAGGGACAGGGCATCCACAACTTCTCTAGGAAACCTGTTCCAGTGCCTCACCAACCTCATAGTGAAGAATTTCTGCCTTACATCTGATCTACATCTACCCTCTTTCAGTTTAAAGCCATTACCCCTTGTCCTATCACTACATGCCCTTGTAAAGGGTCCCTCTCCAGCTTTCTTGTAGGCCCCCTTGAGGTACTGGAAGGCTGCTACAAGGTCTTCCTGGAGCCTTCTCTTCTCCAGGTTGAACAATCCCAACTCTCTCAGCCTGTCTTCATAAGAGAGGTGCTCCAGCCCTCCAATCATCTTCGTGGCCCTCCTCTGGACTTGCCCCAACAGGTCCGTGTCCTTCCTGTGTTGGAGCCCAAAGCTGGACGCAGTACTCCAGGTGGGGGTCTCACCAGAGCAGAGGGGCAGAATCACCTCCCTCGA